ATATAGTTTTATTGTCTTATTTGCTCTTTGTGGAGAAATTTTGCCGATTACTTGTCAGTAAAGGAGAGGGATAAGAGAACCCAAAAGCGTCCATGCGTCCTTCTGGGTGGCAAATTATTTTCTATCCTGCTACTTCACTCCCACAGAGGAGATGTTGCAAACCTCTGTCTGCTTAATTAGATGAGTTCTAACCATCACGGTTAGGATCCGCCATGCTACGCGCATTGTATCACCCCCCCACCATTCCCTCCGTATTCCATTGATGAGAAGCAAGTTCCACTCGAGATGTTTTCCGATCACTATAATCTTAACATGTTCAAGTCTAGAGTTAACCGTTATCTTCCCCCCTCATATCCGCATAAACCGTGATTCTTACTCTGTATCCATCTACCTCGAGGGGCTCCCGGGTGTTGCACAGGGTGAACTTCACTGTAAAAAAAAATAATGCCAAAAACTGTGATGAACTTCACTTTTTATGTTCTTATACCAGAGAAATGTTTTTTTAATGATTTTACCTCAAGGAAGGCGATAATGCCACTAAGACTCAAGAAGCTACTGGGAGGGAAAATAGTGAAAAAGACTTTATAATGAACTGGAAATCCCATACTAAACAGGAAACTTGGGATAAACATGTACATCTACTCAAAAGCCCGGGGCAGAGTGTAAACCGGAACATAAACATACCTCTCTAATCCGTTTAAATAAAGTTATTACTAATTAATTTATTCCATAATTCGGAGTTTTAATTTGTTTTAATATATGCAAATGAATAAATTTTAAAAAAATAAGAGAAATAAAGAGTTATGAAAAAATGAAATGAAGTAAATTAAGAAAATTGACTGATTTCTTTTCTACGGCTTATCAATAACTTTCAGGTTATTTAAAGCCAGATAATGTTTCAAGTTGTAAGAATTTATTTTTCTTTTTTGGGATAATGATTGTGTACTGATTCAAATCTTACTAGTTAGAAAAGTAGACGTGAATTCAAGGGCAGTTGAATATGAGGAATTAAACTGGAATTGAAACTCAGCTCCGATTAACAATTCCGAGCCATTATCCATTACACCAGCTACGCTTCCAAGCATACAAGCATACAGCACCTGATATTTATATATATATATATATATATATATATATATATATAACCACAAGCATGCCTTGCGTTGCATAAGCAACGTATAAACATCTATATATATATATATATATATATATATATATATATATATATATAAAGAAAATATCTGGAAAAACAAAACAAAAATCCTTAAAATGCGATTATGTTGTTTTAATATGAATTTTGTTTTGTTTTTTCCAGATATTTTCTTCATTCTGTCGGATTTATATCCATTTATATTTGCTTATATAATATATATATATAATATATATATATAATATAATATATATATATATATATATAATATATATATAATATATAATATAATACATATATATATAATACAATATATATATAATACAATATATATATATATAATATATATATAATATAATATATATATAATATATATATATATATATAAAAGTGAACATAGAAGTCAACACTTAGAGGCGACAATCTGTTTTATGCATCTTAAGACTATATTTCTTCATATTCATATATATATATATATATATATATATATATATATATATATATTTATACATATATATATAACATGTATTTTTAAGTTCAAATATATAAAAATTGTTTTGGTTCGTACGAAATAGATAACACAAACAAAGAATCAAGATATTGTATAAGATTGAATAGACGCAGACAACGTCAGGATTAAATATTAGAAAATAAATAAGCTAATAACACATCCACTGTTTTTTACTGAAATATCGTGATTCTGAAAGACGATAAATTTGATAGCATCATTTGATGGCCCCGGGAGATTGGCATCGGTTAGACCATCGTAAAAAGGGAATAAAGCGGAAGGATGTGGCGT